CCTGCTTCGGCAGGAGGGTTGGACTAGATGACCCACAGAGGTCCCTTCCAACCCCTACTATTCTGTGATTCTGTGATTCTGTGATTCCATGTTAATCACTGCGGGACTGGAAATGCAAAGCACATCTCAAGTCAGTTTTGTAGCCTGAGGTCAGATACAAACTTGCTGTCCTTCCCTTTCTAGTAAAGTAGCCTAGAGAAGGACTATCTCCACCGATGTATCATATGGAGGATCCCTTGTACGTGGACGCTCGTGGCTACAGATAAAGCAGTCTTCTCCCTTGTTCAGCTTCCATGCTGGCTGTCAGGTGCCTCGCCACCCTCAGGGTCTCCCGAAGCAGGTGCCATTCTTAGCCACTTCTTGGATGGTCCTGGTGTCAGCTTGCGTCTGTGCACTGCCTGGCCAACTCAAGAGATCTACAAAGGAAGAAGATGGGAGAAAGAGATGGAAGAAGCAGAAGCTATGAAGGGACAGCCTGCAAGCCTGACCACTCGCAGTCATCCTTGCACCTTGTAATTCCCCAGCACCTGGAGCAGTTACATTAAGGAAGTATCAAATCTTCCTGAAAAAGAGAGAAGCCAAAACCAAGAAAATAATCTGAATTTTTCTTTTTCTGTCTTTTAGCAGTCATGTTCCAACCCTTCATAAAATCAATCACTAATACATTAGTGATCTTCTGTAGGTTATGATTTTGCAGAAGTTTGTTTGTATTGATGAAGAACAGTCAGTGGTATTTAAGAGACTTCTATACTAGATTGACTGGTGTGTATGGGGTTTAAGATGTCAGCCTTCCTCCAAAGTATTTTTTTTCTTCTTCAAAGTGCTGTTTGTTAAAATCTAATTTTTAATTCTTTTTTCCTTATAACTGGTTTTAGTGAGGGTTGTAATTGTTCATTCAATGTTAAATAAAAATGCATATTTCTCCCTCTCGAAATGTATGAGTTTATCAATACATCTGAAGCCTGATTTGTGGCTGCCTGAGTGAAACTGGATGGGCAGTGTGCTCAGCAGGGCAAGCGCTTCCTCCGGATGCAGGCGAAAGACCCAGCAGGTCATTCCTCTGCCATCAGGACACAGCAGTGAAACCCACAGGCTCCATCTGCATTTCACACCTGCACAGTGCTGTCTGTGTAACAGTGGTGGACTGTAAATTGTACTAGTTATCCTGACTAGCTGAGTAGCAACATGATTCCATCTTGCTGGTGGTCCACGCGGGACCGTATGATGCTGCAAGGTGGGATTTGTCTTTGATGGTTGAAATTTTTTAAGCGCATTCAGTGGTTGCATTGAAAGGTTGTGTCATTAGGCTCTTGAGGGTTAGAATTTCCACGACTGAGGAGGTGTTGTCCCAAAAGTAGGTTCGTTTACCTGGTGTGTGACACCCCAATATACACACAGAGCAGAGGTATTGTCTTTATTGCACAGATATGTGTGCTAGGTGATAATTCTACAAAGCTACACCCTGCTTAGCAGAGTCACAAGGACTATACACTCTTACAAAACCAAAGAAATTACTCATTATATTCTGATTGGTTCATCGCGTTATACACTTATCTTAAAGATATATTCCTTCTTTTTTTTAACTACGCATGCTTGCAGGCTGCAGGAGGGCGTGCATTCTTTTTGGTTCTGAATCGAGTCCGTGGTCAGGATCTCCCCCTGCCCCTTTACCTTTTTCCTAGTGACCCTAGATATTTGCTAACTTCACGCATCTTCGGCAGTTGTCCAGCTTTCAGCGACTTTTGGGCAGCATGTTCCCCTTTTATCAGTCTGTTAGCTCCTCTTGAAGGGCATAGTCACTAGTGAGGCCTACATTGTTTGTACAAAGTAGTCAGGCCTAAATTAAACAGTGTCACTGTGACCTAAGCCCTTCTGCCCAATATCATTTCCCCCCTTTGAGACTACGAGACCATCTCTTATGTGTCAAATATGTCTCAGTATTTCTTTTCATCAACAGCATATAGTTTTCCGTGGCCATTTGTACAATTAACCTTTTGAGGCAACTCAAAGCAATACAAATTATGATGACTATGATTATGATTACAGTTTCGAGTAAATTTGCCAGCCATCCAATAAGGGAGAATCCAAGCCTGCTGTCCTGGGTTTGGCCAGGACAGGGTTAATTTTCACCAGAATCCAGGAAGGGACACAGCCCTTCAAGACTGACCCAACCTGGCCAAACAGAGCCCGGTATTCCATACCCTGTGCTGTCATGCTGGGTTCCGGTGCAGGGGGTGGTGCGTGGAGAACTCACTCGCGGCTCGGGAGCGCGGGTGCCAGTCCGGGAGAGAGCGGCTCTGTTCTGCGGGCTCTGTTCTGCGGGTTTGTTTTGTGTTTTCCCCTTTTCTGTATCGTTGTTGTTCCTGTTGCCTCTGTTTGCTGTTCTGTTAAACTGCCCTTAGCGCGACCCTCCAGTTTCTACCTGTTTCTTTCCATTCTCCTCTGCCCTCCGGCGGGGGGAGGGGCGGCCGCGTGGCGCTTTTGTTGCCGGCTGCAGCCAAACCATAACTCCTGCACAGTATTTTATTCAGCCATCCTATTTCCATAGTAGCCTTAAGGTCACGACTTGACATTGCCATCTACTTGATTTTGTCGAGCTGATCCTCTAAATGTTCAGTAGTGTTTGGAATATGAACACAACAATATTTATCATTTAAAGTTAAACATCCACATACTCCATGTCCCTGTAGCAACAATAGATCCAATGCTACTCTGTTCTGTAGGGCCATTTTACATGCGGCTTGTAGCTCGGTGTTCAAATCCTGCAGTGTTGTCTTTGTGGCATTTGCTGATAACTCTATGTGTCCTGTCAGATTGTATAGCCATGCATGATTTTGAAGTAAGGTGTTTTGGGGACTCAAGATTGCCTCTGTTATCCACTCTACTTTTGTCCCTGTAGAGGGATGTCTCTAGGGATCTGCTTCATCCCTTCTTACTTTTCCCCATAACTGAGGTCCTACGGGTCTCTTTCTCCACACAGGGCATAAAGTTAACATGTTCAATGTAAGTTGCCATTGTTTCCTCCTAGAGGCAACTGTGTCGTCCAGGTGCTGTCATCACTGACCCATATTGCATGACCCATAGGAGGTACTGTTTCTTTATTGCAATTAATAGACTTGCTTTTGATTATAGTACCGGTCCAAGTATCATTGATATAGGTAGAAAAATTGCTACAGAAATACCCTAATTGCAGGGCTCGTGCAACTGGACCTAACTGTTGAATCCCACAACGGTCTGTGGAACAATGGAAAACTCAGGTGCAGTTCTATTCAAAATATTGTGATTTCTTAACTCTTGTCATTATATTTGCCAATACTTCAATATCTGGAATGTTTCTACCCTTTTGATTCTATCGTTCCTCCCCAGTCTACTCAATACACCAAGGTGTGCTTTGCATATAGTGCCACTCACCTTGTTCTTTGCTGGTCCTTAACTGAGATAGGTCCATTCCCCAGGAATAACGTTCACAAGGTTCAGGTACACTTTTTCCTGGGCTGGATTCTCTCCCTTTTCCAAAGTGAGTATTCTGAGCCTCATTTACATGCCAACAGATATCTGTTATCCTTTCAAATGTCAGATTAAAAGCCTCTGCCCACTTTCCTAGTCCTAGCACCTTTTCACCACTTTCTTCTAGAGACAAGATTCCTGCTCCATTACCTATCATGGCCTCAAATGTTTGGTTTAGACCTAAAGTTAAGATTCCCCATTGCAAGAGGCTAGCCACTGATTTTGGCAACGGTAGATAGGCGGTCACACTGCTTGTGTTCTGGATTCTCCAAAATGGCTGGGTAGATTAAATTTCCTTTACAGATAACAGGTACTAAACATATGATTATAATACTCACAATTCTCATTTCGTCAAAGTTAGATGAATAATG